AGATGCTGCTGATAGGATGCCAAGGTGCCCAGGCTAGGATAAGGCAGGCAGAGGACACCAGGGCTCCTGCTGTCAGGACAAGCACAGCAAAGCACAGGAGTCTCTGAGGATGCCTAACTAAAGTACCGTGGCCTCTGTGGACAGATGCTACCAAAAAGGAAATAAAAGAGATATCTCCACAGTTAGCACAGCAAGAAGCAATATTGCTCTTCTGGAAGAAGATATAAAACCTGGACATCTATCAGAAAACTGATTCAAGGAGGAAAAACCTTTATCCTCCCTTGACATTTTTAAAAAGAACTAAAGCACAATCCTGCACAATGGTCAGTTTATGTGTCTATTATTTCTATTTTTAGCCAATACCTTATTAATTCTTACTGCTAGCAGTTATCTCTGCTGAAATAGGACAGCAGCACTTCAGGTGACCTAGAAAACAGGAGAAGCCTGGCACAGGACAGTGCTGTCCTGCTCTGGTCCCTGGCAACCTCTCCTGTCCCCACATCCACAGGGAGGGACAGAGCCACCACTACACTGCCTCTGCTTGCATAGCTTCAGCAGGGAACCACGTTTCTATTTGAAGTTACCCCGTGCACGTTCTGCTTTTATTTTAGGCTGTGGAGAACACAAAGGAAACCAGAAGAGAGGCTCCAGCCAGCAGCACCCCCAAGGCATCCCCCAAAGGGTAAGCCTGCAGATGACACTGACCATGATGACAGATGCCTGGTGTCAGGCACAGCACCAGGCTTTATGTGTTTTTACAGCACAGATACCAGCCCCACACCAAGCACTGGAGGCCTGCACACCTACTGCTCACCTGCATCACTCCTTGCAAGAACGGTGCTTGGTGGCAGAATCCATCCAGGCTGCTCTTTTACCCTGGTCTTGGGAGGGAGCAGGAGGTGCTGGGCAGCATCCTGGGTTCTTTAAGGAGGGGAGCAACAAGGCACAATGCTGCAGCAGGGGCAGCACCTACAAACACTGCCCATCCATGGGCTGTTTTCCTCCAAGCTGGCTTTTTAGAGCTGCTGTGGCTTTGCTTCCTGGGGTAAACCCCAATGGATTTGCTAAGGAGGGTTGACTTGGGGCAGTTACAACCAGCCTCAGGTGTGGAGCCTGATCTCTTGTGGAGGCTCTGATGGGGGCACGGGGGCAGAGTCCCACTGCACTTCAGGCCCACAGGTGCCGTGGCTGCTCTCGCAGCTCTGGCACTTGTTTGCATGGAGAGCAAGGACACATGGCTGTCATTCAGCACGGGCAAAATACTTTACACCGCATGTGCCCGGCTTTAACACGCATTAACCGCCAGCCTCCGTGCCGGGTACAAAGCTTACCTGGTGTTTCTGACTCGTTAAGTACAAACAAGGAGTCTTACCCCAGTGCCCTGATGCGGCTGGCTGGGGGTCTCCTTGGCAAAACAGGGGAGGGGGAACCATTCAGGGGAAGAAGGAAGCCATGCCTGGGCAGAGTCTTGCACCTAACGCAGCAGCCAGCCCCCTGTGCCAAGGGGAAGTGAGCGCAGAGCATGTGAAACAAGATTTCCTCTTTCTGGGGCTTTTTTTAGCATCCTGCTGGTTTTTACATAGCGCGTTTGGCTGAACTTTGCCACGCTGCTGCTCGGGATTTCCAAAGTGCAGTTTCTCTCATTGCTGTGTTTGTATCCCCCTTCCGAGGGTGGCCGCTCTCACAGGGCCATTTCTGGGTGCCCTGGGTGAGCACCCTCGCTGCTAGCCAGCTTTAGCTGGGCTTTCTGGGAACCCTCATAATGTGCGTTCACAGCCCCAGGGAGAGGCAGAGGGTGCTGCAAGCACATCCCTGCCTTGGGGCTGGGCTGGAGGGAGCAGGGGATGGTGTTGCAGGAACATTGCTGTGCAGTGGGGAGAGGGAAACGCAGCCCTGGTGAGGGGCAGCAGGAGGATCGCTAGCGTGCACGTGTGTGTGCACTGGGCTGTGAGCAGACAGATGGGCTGGGACTGCGCTTTGTCCTTCCCTTTGCATGTCTCATGGCCCAGCCATGGAGCTAGGGTGAACTTACCCCCACGAGGGATGCGGCCAGAGGAGAAGCAGCATGATTCAGCCTCCCTGACTGGGAGCCCCTGGGAATGAGATGAGAGGAAAGACATCTTGTTTAAAGAAAAAAATAACTGAGTTTTAAAAATCACTGGAAGGAAGAGCTGGGTGCAGCGGGCTTGGGGCTTTATCTTGTGAGCACCCCTGTAGATGCTCCCCAGGCAGATGCAACCTTGCCCAAGCAGTGTTCACAGGAGCACTGCCAGCATCTGCAGGCACGGGACACCTCAATGGACAGTGAGTGATGGCACTGCGAAGTCCCCGAGCTCCTCTCTGCTGGAGCTTCAGAGCAAACATCAGGCAAGAAGCTGAGACATTCTGGGTGAAAATCAGCTCAAGGTAAAGCTGTGCAGCTCCTTGTGAGCCACCCTCCCTCTGCCCAGCAGCTACCCCCTTCTTAGTGGCTGGGGCTGGCACCTGGGAAGCCAAGAGGAAAAGAGAAGCTCTCCAGGGCTGAGAAGATGCTCTGGGTCAGTCACTGCTGCCCTGGTGCCACCGCCTGGGCACAGTCCAGGGACCTCTTGAAGGCAAAGGGGGATTTGAGTGGAAAAGCTGGAGCTGGGAAAGACACAGCTGCAGAAACCCAGCAGCAAGTTAAATATGCCCTGTGATCGGGGGCGACTTCTGCTCGCTGGTACAGCCCAGGAGGCCGGTTTGTAGCAGCAATTAAACATGTTTTCTATTTATTGTGCAGTGGTTTTGCACCTACCTTCACTGGGCGAGGCAAGGTGCTTGTTAGGTGGGAGAAGAGCTGACCACCACAGATGGCCACAGCAATAGGCTGCTGTTAGAGAGGTGTTCTTACTGCTTTTGCAAGCTTTTCCATACCATTTACTTTGTCAGACCTGTGTCTCCCCACAGTGTTATAAACGCATCTTTCTGCCTTTCAGCTGCAGGGCCGCTCCGGTTGTCAAACTCCTCTGTTGAAAGCCGTGCCTGAAATGCCACCCAAAAGGTGACAGAGGTGCAGTCCCTGTGGCGAACTGACAACTGCTTTGGCACACGATGCATTTCTCAGTGTGGATCCCTCTCTGTCAACCCTGCAAGCAGCTAGAGTGAGGTCTGGTCATTTCTGACAAAGAGCATGAGCAAAGCACACGAGCAGGACTTCGATTAACACCCTATAGCCAAGCTTCTCCCCGCAGTGGACATGATGATCTGGTAACTAAAGCCTCACACACAGATGCCAGGGCTGAACCTGTTCATTTAAGCACCAACAACCCAAGAACAGCCTGGCTGCAGGAACATGCTACCATGCTGGGGCTGAGCACGGATCTGGAGCACAACCATGACAAACAGTTCGACCTGCACTGAAACAGACCTCAAGCCCTACTATGCGGTTACATACACTTTCATCCTGATCCCTGGACTAATAGGAAACACATTAGCTTTGTGGGTCTTTTATGGGTACATGAAAGAGACTAAAAGGGCTGTAATATTTATGATCAATTTAGCCATTGCTGATTTATCACAGGTTTTGTCCTTGCCCCTGAGGATTTTCTATTACTTGACTGGGACATGGGAATTTGGAGGAGGTCTCTGCATGTTTTGCTTCTACCTGAAGTACGTCAATATGTACGCAAGCATCTACTTCTTGGTTTGCATCAGTGTAAGACGATATTTGTTTCTTATGCACCCATTCAAATTCAGCGACTGCAAGCGCATCTGTGATGTGTATATCAGCATCATTGGGTGGGTTGTGGTCTGTGTTGGCTGTTTGCCTTTCCCACTTCTCAGACTCCAACAGGATGCTAAAAACACATGTTTTGCGGATCTCCCCGTAAAGGAAGTTGACCTTCCCCTCTCCATCGTAATGGTGACGATGGGGGAATTGGTGGGGTTCGTCACACCCCTACTCATCATCCTGTACTGCTCCTGGAAGACTGTCTTGTCACTAAAAGAAAAAAATTCTGCTTCACATGACCTCGGAGAGAAGAAAAAGGCTTTCAAGATGATTCTTACCTGCGCGCTGGTATTTCTGATTTGCTTTGCACCTTATCATATCAGCTTTCCGCTCGATTTCTTTGTCAAAACCAAAAGGATTGAAAACGGATGCGTCCAGAAGGTGATCTCAGTGTTTCACGTTGTGGCTTTGTGCCTTGCCAGCTTGAACTCCTGCGTGGACCCAGTCATCTACTACTTTACTACAGATGAGTTCAGGAGACGCCTTTCCAGGCAGGATTTACAAGACAGCATTCAGCTCCACAGCCTCAGTTACGCAAGGAAGCACTCCAGGGATGTGCTCAGGAAGGTCACCATGGACTGCTAGTGCTGGCCTTCCACAGATGGTTGCCAGGGCTTCAAATGTTCACTGTATTTTGGGGTTTGGCCCAATTTATTTTTTCCCACCACTTCCATTTCCAGCTTGAAAGCCATATGGTTTGAAGCCATATTGCTGCCTTGAATAAGCTTTAACCAACAGGGCTCTGCTTTAAGGGTAGATGTCCATCAGGCCCTTCAGGTCCTCTTTTCACCAAAGAGAGAGCAAATTATTTCTCTCACTGATAACTAACCCTGCACCATCACACCTTCATTAAGGGCAGCATCATTAAAGCACAGTCAGAGGAAGCAAGCCTTCAAGTTTACTGTAATGGAAACTCGCTCTAAGCAGTCAAACGTGCCACCCAACAGGCTATGAGAGATTTTTATGAAAGGCTCAGACATGGATGTATTTTTAGTAACAATTTCTTTAAAATCAAATAACAGAAGGTTTGGGCTGGGCTGGCGTTTCATTTGCACCTTCTTTTGTCAGACTGATTTTTCTGTGAACATCTGAAACGTTACATTTTGAAATGTGAAAATACTGTGATGGTATTAGGCTTTATTTAAATGCAAATGTTGTTTTATAATTTATGAAAAAAATATATATATATTTTGTAGAAAAAATGGGAATCCCAGAGAGCGTTGGAACACAAGCACTTATTTTCTTTTAAAAAAAACCCTTTTATATAATAAAACCAAACTGCACCTCCTCATCTCCACAGGAGTCTGAGCCGGTGTGTCTGTACCTGAGTATGTTGCTGGGTCAGGACGGATAATTCATGGAAACCATGAAGCACATTGTCATTCATTCACAGCAATGAAAAAGTGTTTTTTTTTTTTTAATTTCCTTTTGTATATGATTAAAAAATCCTTAAAAAAAATAATTAAATGTAATTCTTGGCCAACTCTCCTGTCTGTAACTGCCTGCATCCCCAGTACACACTAACACAGACCAACACGTGGCAGCATGTGGACACTGACCCCTCTCAATCACCTGTAGAACATTTCAGGTGCCTTTTCAGAATGATTTCAACCTCCTTCTTGCGCTGGGGAGAAAAGCAAAACACTGGCTCACAAAGGGACAACACACATCCCTGAACAGTGCAGCAGCTCATCTGCCCCCCAGACACGGTGAATTCCTATCGCTGAAGGCCAGCTCCAGCGCAAGCCCATCACCGTCCTTTCAGGGCTCTGTCCCTGTGGGAGGAGAGCAGGATGGCCCTGTACAACCCCACAGAGCTACTTTTAGCTTCTGAGGGGAAAAGATGCTACACAAAGCGGTGTCAGAGGTTCAGAAATTGTTCAGTAAGAAAAACCTCAATAAGCTTCAGTTTTCCCACCTAGAAAATGCTGTGGGTGCACATGAGCCGTTTCGTCTGCTGCCATAGCAATGTGGTTTATTCATGCTAGTCTTAACGGTCTCTTTCTACAGGAAGCTTGGTGTAATGCAGCTGCTCACATGAGCCACGTTTGGGAGAGACCTGCCTGTCCCCTCCTGCAACAGCACCTCTGCCCCACATGGGGTTAGCTTGAGCCATGCTCTCCATCACAAAGGTCTCACAAGCCCTTGGCTGATGATGCCACAGACATCAAGACATTGCTTAGATTAAGGGCAGGTGTATTTTCATGCCCTGTCGATGGCTCAGGATCCATGATATCAGCCCATGCTTGAGCCCTGGAGCACCACACACCAGCAGAGAGATGCTCTGCTGCATTTCTGCCAGCCAAGGAAGCCTCAAGTGGGGATGACACATGGCACACCGGGTTTGGAGAAGACAAGTGATACCCGGCCACTGAAGCATCAGGGAGCACTTACTGTTTGAGCACTTTGCTGCCCAGCTTCGAGCTCTGTGCTAGGCAAGATGTGATTCTTCACCTGGACTTTGCTCAGCTCTGGCTGCAGGTCTCCCTTAGCCTGTTCAAAGACAAAAGAAGCTGATACTCCCACGGAAAATTTTTCTAAGGAAAGCTGGTGAGTAGTAAATCTGGACTGGGGATCTGAATGAGAATAACCGAGAGTAAAAAACAACCCCAAAACATCCCCTTATTCTGCATGAAACATTTCCCCTGGTTGCTCAAGCACCTCTTCCCCAGGAGGGTTGTTATACTGAGAAGCAAAGCACTGAGGTCCCTGCCAACAGCCTCACCAGGCACACTTGGTGCTGAAGCAACAAGTGGCTTTTTGACCCAGAGTTAGGTTTAGTTTAATGCTAAGAGAAGGCACCGTGGCAAGAACACAGGCCCAGGGAATGTCTCGGGGAACGCTTGAAGCCCTGAAGCCGCTCATAAGCACCATCAGGTGTTTTAGGGAAGTCTTATTTACACCTGAAACAAGGCGAATGAGGATGACAGAGCACTGGGTGGGAGCAGAGCTGGTGGGTTTCTGAACGCAGCACAGCACAGCCCCGTTTCCATCGACTCCCACACGGCCCCGCGCCTCTGAACCCACGCGCTGCGGAAAGAGCAGCGCTGGCTGCGGCGGTTTCATCACCTCTATCCGGCTGCCTTTGTGTCGCTGTCGCTGCGACAAGAGAGGATGGGTCTTTTTTGTTCTTCTTTTTTACGTTGAGACTTGGAACCGCACTGCAAGGGAAGGCTGCTGCGGAAATGGGGCTGTGAACGCCTGCCCTTCTTCCTGCTCTCCTCTTGGTGCCTTTGAGCCAGAGCACAGAGCACCAGGGAGGCTCGCTGGCTGCTGATGGTGGGCTTGGGGACAGTGTTGAATCACCAGGCTGTAGGTGACAGTCCTGCCCAGGCACAGCCATCCTCCACCGCTGGTTGTGAGGCTTCCTGCAGCTGCACTGAAAGCACCGTGCCCAGAGCCATGAAAAGCTCTTTTCCAACCCATTTGCCCAGCATACACCTGAACCCACTGATCCCTTAAGCCCAGTGGCAATGAATTCCCTACTTAAGCTGTATGTGCATTGCTCAGAGCAGCCACCTGACAATCTTTCTGTGCCCCTTCCTCTTGCACCACGAGGAACTGGTTCCCTTTTCACCCCCTCTGCCCAACTTGTGCCTCAGCAGAGGCAACTTCTTGCCTGTGCTCAGGACCCCCAGCTACCTCCTGCCTGACGGCTGCCACCTGGGGTTAGGAGCAAGGAGGCTGATGGCCAGAGCCTCAGTCCTCTAACATTTCCAATATCCTCTTCATCTTCTCTGCCATCACCAGCCATCACACATGAGCTACCCATGTAACTCAAAAGATCCGGGGCCCCCAACATAAGAACGTGGAGCGAATCCAGAGGAGGCCACGAAGATGCTCAGAGGACTGGGGCACCTCTGCTCTGGAGACAAGCTGAGAGAGCTGGGGTTGTTCAGGCTGGAGAAGCCTTTGGGGAGACCTTAGAGCAGTTTCAGTGCCTAAAGGGACCAACAAGAAAGCTGGACAGGGATTTTTACAAGGGTATGTAGGGACAGGACACAGGGGAATGGCTTTAAACTGACAGAGGGGAGATTTCTATTAGATATTAGGAAGAAATTCTGCCCTGTGGGGATGGTGATGCCCAGAGAAGCTGTGGCTGCCCCATCCCTGGCAGTGTTCAAGGCCAGGTTGGACACAGGGGCTTGGAGCAAGCTGCTCCAGTGGAAGGTGTCCCTGCCCATGTCAGGGGTTGGAACAAAATGAGCTTTAAGGTCCCTTCCAACCCAAACCAGGCTGGGATTCCATGATTCTACGATCTCCTTTCTGTGTGAAAAGGCTCCTCTGACCCAAGCAGAATTTTGCTTTCCCCTTATGTGTCTTTTCTCTCAGCAGCTCTATCTTTTATTTGCTGTTGTCATCTGGTTGCTCAGTGTCCTCCAAAGAGTCCCCGTTTCTCGGTAGCTGGTGGTGTATTTTCCTGCTCCATTTAAGGCTGCACCAGCAGCAGGCTTTGACACTTTGCACTTCACTGTTCACTTCCTTTTTCACTTTGCTGTTAGAGGCCAAAACAATAGCATCATCCCCAGCGTCGTGAAAACGGCTCATTGGCCATAAAGACACACAGAGCATCAAACAGCACTGCTGGACACCACTCCTCAGACCACAGTAACTACAAAACCCACAGCGAGCAACGCAGATACAAGTCAACCCCGTCCAGAACAAAAGCAAAAGAAAGAAGCTAAACTCCTCACAGGGATGGTTTGATAAATACCCCGATGAAAAGAAAGCAGACACGCTGGACCTGTACAGCCAGCACCTGGTTCTCACTGCCAGTTAAGTCAGCACAGAGGAGCTCCAGCACTTGGGCTGTACTTGCCACTGTAACGTGTGTGTTGGGCCCAGCAGCTACCCTCAGATCAACCTGTTTCTCCCACCCTTCCCTCAAACGCAGTGATTTGCTCTACAGAACTTAACAGCAGGGATTACACAGCTGAAATAGATAAATGGAGGAAGACTTTCTGAATTTCTCAAAATTCAAAGAAAAATATGCCGCAAAGTAGAGTACTTGGGAGACTTGGTGTGAAAACTTGACATTTCAGTTGAAATGAGCAGTCAGGGGTGCAGGGATCTTTGTTTTTATCATCATCCACCTAAGGAGAAAGAACAGAAGATCACGGCCCAGCCCTGGGCACAGGGGACAGACACAAGCATGACTTTTGGTGGTTAATGTCATGTCCTCAAAGGGGAAGACCTGGCTGCTTGTTCCTGCTTCCAGCTCTATTTCTGTACATCACGTCAAAGCAATACGGGATATACTCCACAAACATCACGAGCTGCTGGTTGGGCTCAGATGTGGGTTTTTGGTGGCACCTAGCATGCCATTTGAAGGGGTCCTGTCCTTGTGTGGGTGATGACTGAACAGCAGCTGCCTCTAAGAAGGCAAGTCTGGCAACATGTCCACTTGCCCCTAGAGCCCATTTCAGCATGAGTTAGACCTCAAAAAATAACTCTCATCCCAGTCGGACCCAGTGCTCCATCTGGACACACACAGAAGTACCCTCATACAGTTAAAGGGAGGGGAAAAGAGAAGCTTTTGGGGGGTTTGGTACATCCATGGTCAGCAAGTGGTTGACCTACAGTCATTGAGATTATAATATTTGATACCAGTCTGCTTCAGTTCCCTTCAACCCCTGCTTTTTTTTCTCCTAAGCATAAACTTCATAAAAGAAAAGCCAGAACACCCAACAGGGATAAGATGAACACAAAGGACATAACCAATTGTCATAACTTACTGTGAGAATTAACAAACCTCTTCATTCTCCTGCCTACCCATTTTCCCCAGTGGGCTCAACAATGATGCAAGAAGGAACCATCTTGGTAGGGCTCCAGCTTAGTGAAGGGCATGGCTTTTGCAACCACAATGTGCAGCCACTAGTGCTCTGCTCCAAGCACCCCACAGCCAGTGTCACTTCCCTGCCTGCCATCCCAGGGATCCCAAGGGAAAAACTCCATTTTAAAGCTTTTAATCCACCCAAACTCTTGGCTTGGCTGCCTGGTTTCTCCAATCTGCCATCAGCCTGCGCATCCGTCCTGGGATGCGGTGCCGTTATCTCACACAAACTCCACTACTGCATGACACAGTCGATATTTAAGAAATGGTAACTCCCTGTGGTCAGACTGAGGTCTGCACAACTAGAGTGGAAGCTCCCAGGAGACCTATGCAAAACAGAAGCTAAAACTCACATGGCTATGAGTTCCTAGCTTAATGAGAGGTTTCTTATGAAAGTGAATTAACACTAACCATGCAGGTTCTCCACAGCTCCGTGTGGGCCCTCAGGGGCTGGCAGTCAGCATTTGCAAGGGTGAATTTGCCTCCCTTTGCATCAAAGTAGCCCTTGGAAGAAATACCAGATGGGGGACCACAACGCTGTCTTCTCAAAGGCAAAAGGATGAATGCAACAGCAATGCTGCAAGGCTGAGATCTTATGGCTTCGAAGAACATGTCCATGCTTCTCAGCACATGAGACAACCAGCATGACCTCTTCTATATGGAACAGCGTACAAAAGCAATGGGGCAAACCAGGCCTCCTCTGACCATCTCCCTATGAAGCAATGATACTTTCCTGCAGGCTATCAGGGTTCAGCCCCAGAGCATCAACTCACCAGGCCATTAGTGTTCTGTGGTAGATCCCAGCTCTGCAGCAAGGGCCCATCCTTCCTTTGGTAAGTCTTTTGGTAAGCAGGCTTTGCTTGGTTAATGACAAGACAGAAGAGGAAGAAAAATCAAGTGATGCTGGAAAAGCAAGAAGAGTTTTGCAGTGGGAAACCATTGGCTCCATTAAGAAACAACAAATACAGTGAGTCTGCAAAAAAGATAAACGCACATATCAGTGTATCTGCAAACAGGACATTTATAGAAGAAATACAGAATTTGAGATCTGGACCTCACTTTTTTTTCTCCTGGACTCAAGGCACTCAGCCAGAAACTTTTGTTTTCCTTCCAGTTAATATGAGTTGTTTCCTATTGAAAATCAAAGGTGAAATCTGCAGTGAAAATAAGGCCTCAGAAGTACCCCAGCCATCAGCACTTCTAGGTGCAAGCTCTCCTCCACCCATGTGCACTTCTACTCCCTAGCCCTCTGCGCCCAAGGAAACCTTTACCATAGAAAACACTTTCATGCAGTCAGTAACAGGAGCCTGCGTCTTTGGAGCATCATTCCCGCTCCTCAGCCTCCCTGCTACGTATCCCCTTCAGTGGTGCACTGTGAACTGCTGGGAGCTTTGGTAAGAGCAGAACAAACTTGGACATCAAGGGAAGCAGCTTACACTGCCGCACAGATGGATCAGATAAGCAGAAATGCTTTCATTTCGTTGCAGACTGCAAGCTTACGTGAAAAGCCGGCAGTTACAGCTCAGCTCTCCACCACCAAAGCACTGCTGTTCACTTGGGTTAGGGTCAGATTCTCCCTGCCTTCTCTTGATGTAAGGAAGCAAAGCTGTAACTGCTTCCAACTTCTCACTTGAGTGACAAGGCACACTAGTGAGGCTAGGGGAGCCTGGATGGTGGCTACTGCATTCCTCTTATTTTTCAAAGCATTCACTAGTGAAAGGGTCTGAGAAGACGAAATGACAAAGAAGCTATAACCACCGAGCACAGAGAAACCAAAGGACCAAGTTACTTACTGTCATGCGAGAGTGCAGTTACCACTGACACCACCATGCCACAGAACCAAAAATACCTACATAGCCCTTCCTCCCAAGGGACCTTTGACAAAGTAGAAAACATAGGTTTATCCATCTGTGGATCTACTCCTGATAAATTCCACAGGCTGTCGCTCTCACTCCAGAATAAAACTACCTGGTTCCATTCCAACAAGGGATTAGGTCTGTAGAAAGGAAGCTCCTTGTTCCAGAATCACATGTCAACACCCAAGCTTAAACCGGAACAGCTTCAAACATCAACCAGCCCTAAAATGGAACAGCTCGCACAAACCTGAATGCTTCTGTAACAGACACACATTTACAGTCACAGTGAGAATGACTTAAGACAGTAAATTCACTTTCACACTTGTTAATGTGGAACTCAGTGGTGCTACAGTACAAAGAGAGAAAATACGCTCAAGTAAAGAGAAGAGTTGAACTATAAACAAATAATTTCCTCTGGAGGTGCAGAGTCTAATTATTCCCATGGAAGCAAATACACCCAGTCAAACTGCCTAGGTAATATCACAAATATATACACATAATTAAGAAATCATTGTAATTAAATAATGTGACTGTAATTACACATTATTATTTTGGTTGCAGTCTCGAATCAATCAGTGCCAGCATTCGGGCCCTGTGCTGCAGCAGGCAGCCAAACCATCCCCCACACAGCTCAGAATTAGGACAGTCAAAGCAGCTTTAATCCTTCCAAGCCTGACCTCAAGCTCAGCCTTCCCAGAGTGGTAGCTGCTCAGCCACACAGCTAGCCGCTGTGCCACTACAGAGGCTTTGAGGGCTGCACTGCATTTATCCGGCCCTGCAAGAGTTCTCTTCTGTTACAGACTGTGAGGCTAGTTCAGGGCATGTTAGGAGAATGCGAGATGAAACACAACAGATGGGGAAGCAGTAGGGTGGAAGAGGCTGTCTTTAGTCAAAGATCATAATGGTTTGTTCCTTCCTAGCTTTCCTGAGTACTTCAAGGAAGACCAGAAACAAAAGCATCAACCGACAAAATCTGAGGCTGGCAGCTGCTCAATCATGAATGAAGGGCCCGTCCAATGCAGCCCCCCCTGCTGCAAGCAGAGCTGAAGCAGCTGGGGAAGAACAAATCCCAGACATAGGGAGATTATTGGAAAATGCTAAACCAGAATTCCCCTGGGAAATTCAGAGCTGATTTCGGCTGATATTCCTGCCATCCTTCACTATAAAGTCTGCTGAGCACACCTGTGGTTTTGGTAGCTGTCCCTGCCATGCCAAGAACTAGTAAGTCTACAGAAGTCAGCCCAGTCTTGTGGAAGTCCTAGCAGGCTCTTTGTCCTCCAGGCATCTGCACGTACACTGCAACTCTTCCTGCGAGTGCAAGGTGAGGTTTTCACTACCACACTAAGCATGGCTGTGCTGCAAGTCCATAGCGTAGGGTTGTGAAAATGTCTCTTTTAGGCAACCAATTTACCAAGTCTGAGAAGCTCCATTTCACACCAGTTTGAGACCTGGGTACATCTTTCAGATGTCTCCATGCTGTACCCATTTTCCCTTCCCTGGATCTGCTTCTCAATGTATTTCTATATCCAAGTAAGAGTTTAATTTCTATGATTTTTTACAAAGTCAGGCTAGAGGAAACTCTGAGGTAGACTATCACCTACTTTAATGGAAGTAGTCTGTCTAACACATCACCAGTTGCCCACATCTTACCAGGTACCCCCAGACAGAACGCCATCAGGCTTTTGCAAAGGTCAACAACATCTCCTCCAAGGCACGAATACAAGTCTCTTCTTAACTGTGATTTTTCCTCCAGCATGACTTTGATTAGAGTACTTAAACTTGAAAAACCATCACATGCAATGCTGGAAAAGGGATCATCCAAAGCACTGGACTGCAAACTTCACATTCATGAACATATTTAACACTTACCTCCAAGTATACTGTGTCAGAAAAATAACCTTCAAGCTAGCATAAAGATCACTTGTCAGTAAGTGCACCGTGGTTGTTTTGTCAGTCAAAGCACATGTAAACAGAAGCTACTCCAGTAAATCAGTTTGCATTTGCACCTTGGTTACATTATCCTTTCAGTTCCCACAGCCATGTCTGAAGGCCAGTCTTACCTGGATATTTAATGGGGTTTTCGCACAGGTTACAGTTGTATTATAAAAATGCTCTTTACTATAGATAAAGACAAAGCAAAGACACTAAGCACAACCTAGAGGAAGCCTTCAAACCATTTTTAGGTTTAATCTTGGCAGAATACGCAAAACCCTGTACATTAGAATAAATACACAAGTTTTTGCCAGTTCCACACACTTACAGCCAAGCTCTTGCTGCCTGTGCCACCTGCTGGTGCAAGAGACTCCTCCGACTTGCACTCTGCTTCCTACAAGACCGGCTCATTGCAGGAGCTGCTCAAACTGAGACAGCATTAGAAGATCCTGGGAATATCAGCTGTTTTCATAGAAGCAACCTTAAAACTGCAGTCCTTTGATCCCCGAATGGCCACACCAGCCAAAACTGGTAAGGGGCAGATGATAATCCCTGCACAAACGACCAAAACTTCAGCTACTTTCTCAACGCAGCAGCACTGAGCAGGTAAGAACAATCTGTTCCTCTGAGCATCCTGGCTTATTGCCTAGAACATCAATATGCTCCTAAGGAACTGACTTCATTTAAAAGCTTTACCAGACAAAGGTAAGAGAAACTGTTTCAGCCTATCTGGAAGCATGCCTAGCATTCCTGCTGCATGTCTCAAGGTAGCCAGCAGGTTAGAACAGGAACCACTACAGCTGAAAGGATTTTTACTTTTCATTCTCAGTAAAGCCAAACCTCAATGCTGCATGTGGATGCTCCTTGCTCTCTGCAACCGAGATGTTTCCAAACCCTTCCACTCAAGACAACCAAAACAAATGAGATGGTCAGGAAAAGCAGTAGCTTGCCCAAGCACTTCGGGTCTGTAGCAGAAACTTCTCAGTGCAGCTACTTCTCCCAGTGACACCAGCCTGTTCCAGGTAATTAGAGCTTTCTACAGTATTCTATTTCAGACAATTTAAGTACATAATTAAATACTCTCCTACACTTACTATTGCAGACAGGAAGACCAAAGGTCTAGTTTGGGGGATGTGTCCTCTGCATTGCATCACCACATGCCCTGGGAGAAAAGCTGCACTAGTTTCTGAGACAAGGCAGCGGAATTCCCTATTGCCCAGGACCTGCCTTCTGCTCCTCCCCTCTGCCTCATCCCACAAACAATGACTGAGAGCAGGTTCTCCTATAGTCACTTCTCACTCCCTTGTTGTTAGACTGCTGTTTTACTTCCAGCTGTATAACCCAAGTTACTCTCCAGGAAAGCCAGAAGGGTTCAGTGCACACTTTAGCTCTCTGAACAACTAGTCACAGAAATCTCACCGCAGCTCCCCCAGCTCTGAGCTCAAAGCACAGCAAAGCTCATGGGTAAATGCTGAGAGGTGTTACAATAAGGTGGCAATTAACCCCCTGATGCCTTCATCTATTACAATATGCTAAAAAAACTTCTCATTAACACTGCCATAAATACACTAAGACAAGCAAGCATTTAATCATCGGCCTCATCCACACCAGTATTCAGAGGATGAATTACAGAATGCATCCTTCCTTTGCTATACCACAACCGATAGCTACTGCTCACATGCCAGAAGTCGCTCAGCAGGCAGTTCACAGCTCTAAACACCACTGAGAATTGCCCCATGGGGGATTGTTTGTCTTTTCTTCCCTCTGTTCCTGAACTTATGCACCACAGAGGCCGAGGTAACTCGGCTCCTCAAGCTGAAAAAGAGGTGAGAGGGGAAAGAGGGAAGAGCACTGTGTACTGCCCCAGACCCATAACCATCACCTCCCTCACATGAGCCACATGCCAGGGTACACTCTCAACTCCACGAAGTCACACAAACACCAGAGTTTTAGAGAAACATTTATTATAGGGTTGCAGAATTTATGCCAATATAAAGTCCCTTAATAAAACTCTCAAGTTCATCAACTGCAGGACACTA